TATTACCAACATACTTTAGTTGCAAGTTTAGAATAACACACAAAGACTTGAGTAACCCCAATTTTCTATACTATATAAACAATTTTCAATAACCTACTGAATATCCTCTTCAAATCGAAGCCGAGAACACACGAAACATAGATCCATCTAGTAACGCAAATCTCCAATGTTCTATACTATAAACACATATAATAACAACGCATTATCCTCTATACATATCTATACATGTTAACACATCTATTAATATATATACACATCCATACATGCTACCACATCTATACTATCCTAATTTTTGAATAGTATAGTTTTCTATGTTATACATAATATTCGTTTTCTACACGTAATTGAAGAACATTATAGGAAATAAAGAGAGAAAAATAAGTAAACATAGTTTATTAAGACTTTAATTTGGTTAGATAATGTTTTTTGTTGGCCAGATTTCTCTTTTAAATATACACTCACATAATTAAAGAAACATACTGAATAAAGAAAATAACGAATAAATCATAATGGAAGACATGGCGAGGAGCACATGGTGTTTGGCTTAGTGACAGATTCCAAGAAAAGTAGAAATAATGATATGGGAGAGAAAGCAATGCCTTTGTCTCCTTGGCGGTGGTAAGGTGGCTTCGTTATCACCCGACACCTCCTCTTCATAACTATATACACATCTCGTCATGCAATATACGACACTTCAACATGGATGGTTTTGTTGTTCCATCATTTTCCTCTTTCTTGAAATAAAACATTATCGAAAACGTAAATGTGAGATGAGACTTTGGGATCGCATCCATCTACTTCATTCGAATTATATATGCGAACAGTTCTTATTGCTTTAAAGAATATTATATCTTTTTGCTTAATGGATGGATTTATTATGGAAAATTTAGTGACTTAGTGTCACAACTATGTAGCAATAGGTTTGGATGGATATATATTTTCTAAAATAAACTTCAACGTACATTCAGAATAAATTCAAGCGTAGCTTAGAATGAAGACGAATTATTGAACTAATTTTGCAGATGTTGCAAAAATCAAAACGTAGCAAAACGAAAATGTTTTCTTTTATCAGAAATAAAATAGAACTCTAAATCGTTTTTAATTAAAAATAAAGTAAATTTAAATTTTTTAATCAAAAATAATATAGAATTTAAATACTTGTTTGGAAAGTTCTCAAAAATAAATCCAATCTAATTATTAAAATTGATGGTCTATTTTAAAAAAAGGCCGGTTACTGTTATTATATTTTAATCCATTTTAAAATAGAAGGTTATTAACAATATTGGAATATTTAGAAGTTGATTTCAAATACTATGAGAAAGTATGGATTTAAGACCCGAGCTTAAAAATTATTAAAAGGAACAATAGTTGCTGAAGAAGTTCTGATGTGCATTTCTATTCACACAGGAAGACATAAATTGCATTTCACGCTTCATCTGCATCGACATTTAAATTTACGAAACATTATTTACCAAAACATAAAATAAAGAGGCAACAACATATGCATTTAAATTAAAAATCAACTTTAATTGGATGTGAAAGAAAAGAGCATCAATATTGAAATGGGAAAAGAGTGAGAAATCAGAATAAAAAGACAATAAATGGGGACATGGGTCCTGAAGAAGAGAGTGTCCTCATCAACTTTTACCATCTTATTTTGTCTGGTGGCTTTGTGCTTCTTTGGATTCAGAGCTTGAGACAAACAGAAAGACATTAATTGGCTACCAAACAACTTCACTTTCTGTGCTCTTGTCCCAATCTGAAGCCCATTTTTTCTTACATCCAACGTATCAATGATTCCTTGTGAGAAACTACAACTATGCGAAGAGATATTTCTGCAATTTGATCCAAACGGGTAGTGTATATTAGAATTAATCTAAAACACGGTCTTTAGCAGAATGTTTGGACGGACGATTTATCTTCTGTCTATATTGAAAATGATTATGAGCTACCCTAGCTAGTACACTAATCAACTTTGGTAACCATGGGATCTACATGTTGGTTTGCGTTTAGCAGCCAAATGCAAAGACAAAGAAAAATGAGAGATTGGAAGGTTTAGGTATTTTTACGTGCCTTCCTGATTATTTTTTCAATTATTTACCAAGAAGTTCGCATACCGACCTTTTCAGGCTAGACCGGACCAGACCGCAGGGTTTTGGTCCACCACAACATCTCAGATTTAGCATATGCAATGAGTAAAGTCTTCCATATCCATTAGACCCAAACCAACCAGATATTATTTTTTATATTATCTTAATTATCGTTTTAAATCTTAAACTTTATATCAATCTACTAACTAGATTCAAGAGAAATCATCTCCACCGTAATATCGTTACATCTCCTAAATGATAATGGTCTGAAGATGGGTCTATCTTTTAAGGATCGATCCAATGTCGGAAACATGGAGGCATGCTATAGGACAATTTTGGCGGCTACCCATCACTACTCATCCATTGCATCCAACCCAATCTCTCTCTCTCTTCTATGTATAAATATGTTACACTAGTATGATATGAAAGTAAAGGCAAGCAACATTTAATCATAATCTCCATTTCTTACAAATTTAAAAGCCCACACAACCTGCAACCTTCAGTAAAACTGATCTTTACTTTCTTTGTTTTGGAAATAGCCACATGTTCTTCAGTCTCTTATCAACAAGATATAAAAGGCAAATATAACCTTTACAAGAGTTTTAAACTTCAAAACTTCATGGACTTTCTCAAAGTGTCTGACAAGACAACAGCTCCATATAGAAGTGACTCTCTGTTTGGTTTGAATCAGCAACACATGGAGATTCATCCTCATCCTCATGTCATTACTCCTTGTAACGACCCCTCTTCTCTGTTCTCTTCTTTTTATATGATTCTCTAAACAGTGCATAATGAATGTTTTTTAAGAATTTTTTTTTTTCTTTTTTTTTTCTTTTTTTGAGAAAGGCATAATGAATATTCCTCTCATGATTTGTAACAGATGCAGCAAATGGATGTTACTATTATTACCCTTTTACAAACACGCAGTTAAAGGAGCTCGAGAGACAAGCAATGATCTACAAGTATATGATCGCATCTGTTCCCGTTCCTTTTGATCTTCTTGTCTCATCATCCTCTGCACCTCTCTGTAATAATAAAAACGGTGCCGGAGACTTAGAGCCTGGAAGATGTCGGAGAACAGACGGGAAGAAATGGAGATGCTCAAAGGAAGTCGTCCTTAATCACAAATACTGTGAGAGACACTTGCACAGAGGCCGTCCTCGTTCAAGAAAGCATGTGGAACTTCCTTATTCTCGTCCTAGCAACAACAATGGTGGTTCTGACAAAAACAGAGTTCTTCAAAATGTTCCTCAAAATCCATCTCTTAGCTCCATAAAAGACAAGATAGTTGAGACAAAGGAGGTTTCATCAGCCCTCACAAACTACAGAGAAACCAGGTCTTGCTTCTTTATCTTGTCTCAGAATCATCATCCTCTCTGTTTTGTTCTTTGAATCTGTCTTTTTGATCATTGTCATGAACTGAAAACAGAGGAATCGAGATCTTTCCTGAATCGGCAACAAACGAGCAAGAAAACAAGTATCTGAACTTTATAGATGTGTGGTCGGATGGAGTAAGATCATCTGAGAAACAGAGTACTACGACATCAACTCCTGCTTCTTCTTCCAATGGCAACAGTCACTCTCTGTACTCGCTTGATCTTTCCATGGGAGGAAACAACTTAATGGGCCACGATCAAATGGGCCGTGATGATGCCCACGGGTATGGCCCATATGGTGTCGTGTCTTCTTCAGTTGAGGAGATGTCGAGCTGGCTTACTCCGACTTCCGCCACGCCAGGGGGACCATTAGCTGAGATACTGAGGCCAAACCCGAGTTCAGCGTTTTCTGGCGAAATGGAAGCGAATAACTTGACGGAGACTCATACTCCGACCTCTTCGCCGTCGTCTAGAGTGGTGAAGAAAGTGACTGGTTCAGTGTCTGATGAAAACGGCCAGATTTAGGAGGAGTTATGGAGTTTGGTGATGACGACTTTTCTTTTTGTGCCTTTTTCTTATTTAAATCTTGTACTTTTTTTTGTTTGCTTAATTTAAATCTTGTACTTGTAAACTGTAAGCAGCTACTTTTAATTAATTATGGACTTTCTTTGACATTTAATCCCAAATTAAATATGGACTTTAATCGGTCAATGCTATTTTTAATTAGAGTTTGCCACATTGTTCAATAAAGATCAAAATGATAAAATAACGATTTTTAATTTTTAAAGTAAACTGGTTTATATTTATTCGATATAATCTGTTTAGGTTTCGATTTTTGCAATTTTTGATTGGTTTCAAATGTCTTTAGCTTTAGTTTATTTTGTTTTTAAAGCTAAATCAAACAAAATAAATAAATGTAGGAGTCTTATTTAATAAAGTTTTTTTATTAATATAAAGACAAATATTGATGTAGGAATGTATATATTTTTTGAAAAAAAAAATCATTTAATTTATACTACTACATCAAGTACATTTACATCAAAAAGAAATCTACATACTAAGTTCTACACAAAAACTTCTACAGTTACATCTCAACCAATTACGATGTAATTTGAGATGTAATTTGAGGCCACTCTATAAATCTCAAGATTTTCCAAATCCTGATTCACATATGATTTTCTTGGATTTCGTCTATATACAATCGACACAAAACACACATTCGTTAAGTTTAGAGAAATTACTCAGAATAACTCAAATTAATTGAGAAAACACTAATCTAACTCTTATAACATGGAAAATACTAGAATAACTCATGGGATAAACAAAATTACCAATTAACCCATTCTCTTAAACAGAAAAAAATCATTTAAAACAAATTAGAAAAATAATAAAAAATAATTGACAAAACAAAAAAGGGGAGTACCTTTTTGTGTCGGGTTTCATCTTCTCCATTCTCCTACTCCTCTATTCTCTCTCGTCTTCTCCATTCTCCTTCTCCATTTACCGGTGACGAAATTGAACCATCGACCTTGAGCTCCGGAAAACCCTCAACCACCAAAACCCAAACCTCGTTTCTGTTATCCACGACCTCGTCTCTGCCATCATCGAAGAGGAAGAAACCGATTTCACCTCTGTCCTCCATCTCTGTCATCTCCGAATTGGGAAAACAGAAAAGAGGTATCTCATTTCTTCATTTCATCTCTTGTTAGCATAGATCGAGTGATTGCATGTTAAATTTCAAAACCATAATTTTCAATTAAATTCCCTAATTCCCAATTTCGAAAATTGAATTGGGTAAACCCTAATTCCCAAATTGAAAACCATAATTCAAAAAACGAAATAGATTAAACCCTAATTCCCAAATTGAATTGGGTAAACCCTAATTCCCAAATTGAATTGGGTAAACCTTAATTCCCAAATTGAATTGGGTAAACCGTAATTCCCAAATTGAATTGGGTAAACCCTAATTCCGAAATTGAATTGGGTAAACCCTAATTCCCAAATTGAAAACCAAATTCCCGATTTGGAAAAACCCTAATTCCCAAATTAAAAAATTCTACTTCCCAAATCGAAAAGCCCTAATTCCCAATTGGAATTTCATCAACTGTTATATCCTAATTCCTAATTAGAAAAACCCTAATTCCTAAATCGGAAAACTCTAATTCCTATTACGAATTTAATCAACTGTTTTATTTCGAATTTCATTAAGTATTTAATTTGGTTCTTAGTTTTCCGATTTAGGAAAAAAATTTTAAACCTAATGAAAATTACTTGAATAACAATGTGTGTTACTCTGTTGCAGGATGGCTTCATCTTCGGCCATTAGAAAGTATCCTCCGCGCTTATTCGACGTCGGGCAAACACCAGTTCAGAGTAGGAGCATGAATCATAGCTGCTTCTTGTCGAATCTTCAGATGGTTGCAGAAAATATTGGTGTAGACGCTTGGGATGTGTTGAAGGAATCTGCTATTGGTGTGATCATCAAGCTGAAGGAGATGGATTACACTTGGTCTGCAAAATATGTTCACTACTTTCTGACCAATCAATTGTCAGTGAAGAGGAATGAAATATGGTCGTTGCTTGAAACAAGTCCGATAAGGTTCTCTTTGTATGAGTTTGGAGAAATCACGGGCCTCAACTGTGATCCTTTTGACAAAAATGATCGCTGGAATGTGAATCATGAAGAGTTTTGGGTGGAGATGAAAGTTCCTCAAGCCGAAGGACCGAAGCTGAACGAGTTGCAGGCTCTTTTCCCGATATGCAGAAATTGGTCCTTAGAGAAGCGTATAAGGGTTGGTTTGCTGTGTCTCCTGTCCATTGGGATATATGGAATTTCCAGCAACAGTAGGATACCCTTGAATTGTGCCAAAAGAGTGATGGATATAGAAGCCTTCAATCGCTTTCCGTGGGGTCGTGTTGCTTTTAAAAGCCTTGTTGACTCCATCAAGGTTGTTTCGTTGGGGAAGGATAGCTATACAATTCATGGCTGTGTTCATGCTCTGGTTATATGGATATACGAGTCTGTCCCTGGATTTGGAGAGCTATATGGGAATCGGATAGAGGGAGCTCAGATTCCTCTTCTGTCATGGCATGGTTCGCGGCAACGTGTCAACTTCCAAGATTTCATAGCACAAGAAAAGAAAGAACATCAGAAGGTAAGTCGATTATTTTTCAACTCATTAATTTTAAAAACTTGATCTTAACATTTATCTCTTGTTGAACTACAGATTCGTGTTAGGCATATGATTAATAAGCCGATGGACCATAGGTATCCTGTTTGGGCCAACGAAGAACCTGATACTGAGTTGGATAACATGATAGTTGACATCCTCAATGATCAACTAAATGAAACGTTCTGGGATGGACTGTCGTCTACTAAGGGCGAGAAAAGAAAACATCAGGTCAGGGCACCTGTTGTTCCAGAGACAATTGATGAGAGTCCTTCTACTAAAAGAAAAAAGGACAAACAACCTGTTGATGGATCTCCAGCTTCAGAAATGGTATTTGGTATTTTCTTGGGTGTTTATGAAAGTAGTTTCAGAACTTAACATAATTGTTTTGGTGTTTACTTATTGTAGGTTACAGCTCACAACGTTGCTATTCAAGGGTTGATTGAGTCGATTAAAATCCTGACTTCAAAAATAGAAAGCATTGATGTTAGAGTAGCTGAGAAGGTTAGCGAAGCATTAACAGGTATCATAGATGCTAAGGTGGATGCGAGAATGGATGTACATCAAGCTGAGTTAGAGAAGAAGGTTGCAAGATTGGAGGAAGAACTAAATGTTCTTAAGAACAAGGGTGCTGCGAACATATCTCCTGGTGTGAGCATTTCTCCTGACGTGGCCAACTCTAAGGCGTATGACGATGATGGTTGTAGTAGCAACGAATTGGTACGGTTTTTAATTTTTGGTACTATATTTTTTGTTTTTTGTTTACTAATTTGTACTGTCTATTATTACAGTCTTGGATGGTTCAGAAGAAAATCAATTCACAAGATGGCATACCGGTACAATGTGTTGTGAAAAAGGAAAAAAAAGCTAAGAAGACAATGAAGAAGGATGATCTTACGGACAAGGAAGTGAAACAGAAAGAGAAAAAAGTTCAAATGCCACTTAAAAAAGTGAAGCTAGAGAAAGGAGTCGAGATCCCACAACTTAAGGATGAATCCATTTCGACAAAAAGTTGGGAAAATCATCTACAGTGGGAGAAGAGTGTCAATTGTAGGGAGGTGTTGGACGAACTTGCTTCAACTTTCTTGGATGTTTCTCGGAAACGCAAGCCTCAGTTGACAAAGACTCAGATTTACCCGTATGTAGGGAACTCAACCGTGAAACGCATCATAACCGCTTATGACCCATTGGCTAAGGTTGAGGCTGAGAAATTGCAGAGAGTTTTGGACTTCATCAAGACTGATATGTAAGTTTACATTCTTCCATCATAGCTTCTTACCTCGAGATAGTCATATATTTATTTTTCTTCTTTCTAGGGAAAAAGAGGAGCCTGGTTATGGAGATGCAAGTGCTGGGTGGTTCTTAAAGTTGATGATACCAAGAAATGCTTGGCCTACGAACGACTACGGCTGGTTGCATTCCTCTGTAAGTTTATTCTTGTTTTTATGTGATGTTTTATTAGCATACAAAGTTTGCTGATTGATTGTGAATTATTTCTTGTCGTAGCACATTGCAGCAGCAACACTTATGTTTCACAGACGTTCCATGCAAGCCAAGTCTCCATATTCTCCTCGAATTGCATTTCTGTCTCGCTGGTTTATAAACTCGTGGGTGAATGACTACAAGAAGTGGAATGAGAACACAAATGAGTTATCAGAAATGTACAGCAAAGCTTTCAATGGAGAACACCCGGCTGATTTTGTCACTGGTAAGAAGTGGGTTATAGAGGTTCACAATCTATACTTCTGCCACCATGTTAATGGAGATCACTGGGTTGCTATACACGTCGATCTGCTTAAGGAGGTAATACATGTCTATGACAGTATTCCTACTTTGTTGAGTGACAAACAGATGACAGAAGAGTGCCGACCTTTCATGAGAATGATACCGGCAGTGCTCAACAAGATGATGCCTCCTAAATTGAGAAAGAAAAGTGATAAACAGTTCACTTTCCGCAGACACAGAAAGATCCCCAAAAATGATACCCCGGGAGATTGTGGTGTATACTCTCTGAAATACATCGAATGTCTAGCACTTGGATGCAACTTTGATGGGTTGAGTGATCAGATTATAACACCATTGCGACTGAAGTTGGCTGCTGATATTTATGAGGAGGTGATTGAGACCTACGAGTAAAATGGTCTTCTGTTTTGGTTCTTTCTCTTATGGATGTATAACTTGGTGGTTTTTGTTTTAGACAGATGTATTAGTCGCAGGTTTTTGTTATTTGGTTGTTTTAGACGTATGTATAACTCGCAAGCTTTTCTTTTAGACGGATGTATAACTCAGCAGTTTTTTTCTTTTAGACGGATGTGTAACTAGTACTAAACCTATGAATGATGGATGTATATTATCTTGTTGTTGTCTTGAAAGACCAAATAAAGACCAAAGAAATACCAAAGAAAGACCAAAGAGTATAACAAAGAAAACTAGTTTTAAACCAACGTGTAACCAACGTGTA